CCCATAGGGTTTCTAGACTATACCCTTTATGGGAGGAGATCAGCAGGTCTTTCTCTCATGGAACAGCTGGGTGGGTTCCAACTGCTAATCTTTCGATTAGCAGCCAAGCACTTGACTGTTGCACCACTAGGGCTCCTCTGAATGAGGCATACTGCCAGGTTTTGCTGGGACTCAATGGGAAAGCATTTGAGTCATTATTTATAAGGGAGGAAGCAAGTAGAGAAACGAGAGGAAGAGAGTGGCTCCGCCTCTCCTCCACCCCGCCCCCTCCTGTTTCTCCCCACCCAACCATCTAGGTTTTGGGTACATGACACAACAGCTGATGAACTTGGCAGGAGGTGCAGTGGTGCTGGCCTTGGAGGGTGGCCATGACCTCACTGCCATCTGTGATGCCTCTGAGGCCTGTGTGGCTGCTCTTCTGGGCAATAAGGTGAGCTGTACCCCCTGCCTCCCATGCACATATCTGTGGGGCAGGTGAGCCACATTTGCCCAGCCAGTGCCCCAGTGAGCAGGCAGCTGGGGTTCCTCCTTGGTAGATACAACTGGGGTGGCTAGGCCTGGGGAAGGGTGGGCAGACTGGCTTCTTTCCCAGCTCAGGCCCTAGGTCAGTGTCTCCTGACCTAGGCAGGCCAGGGTCCTTGGGTGGAAGAGGGCTTAGGCCTCTGGGCCCCTGAGAGACTGGTGGCTGATGTACTCTTTTCTTTAGGTGGATCCCCTCTCTGAAGAAGGCTGGAAGCAAAAACCCAACCTCAACGCCATCCGCTCCCTGGAAGCTGTGATCCGGGTGCACAGTGAGTGGGGAGCACACAGCCCAGCAGAGGCCTCCTCAGAGGCAGGGACCTGCTTCCACCTCTGTAGCCACAGCCTTAAGCCAGGCCCAGGCTAGCAGCAGCACTCAGGCTTTGTTTACCAAGAGGCCTGGCTTCCGCCTCTGCCTCTGGGCACAGGGCTCTTGGGGGCTCTGCTTGCTTTGGGGCTGGAATTAGAATTAGAATAACCCCTACATTTGGAAAATACTTCACATTTTCAACCTCAACTCAACATTTGTTGTGAGCTTTATGTGAAGGCCCTTGCTTCTGCTGGGGATACCAAAATGACTAAAAGGAGCTGTGGTGGCTCAGTGGTTCAGGCATTCAGCTGCTAACCAGAAGGTCAGTAGTTCAAACCCACCAGCTGCTCTGTGGAAGAAAGATGAGGCAGTCTGCTTCTGTAAAGATTTACAGCCTTGGAAATCCTGTGGGGGCAGTTCTACTCGGTCCTATAGAGTTGCTATGAATCAGAATCAATTAGATGGCAGTGGGTGTCCTATGTCCCCCAATGCAAGAGCTCAGTAGGAAGCATGCATGATAGACATGATGGTCCTTTGTATGGAGCCCTACACTGTCCCAGGTTCTGTGTTGCACGTGTCCTGTGTACATTATTTCTCACTGCAGCAGGCAGGATTCTTACTCACGTGGTATGGACAGGGCAGTGGAGGCCTAGGGAGGGTAGGTGGCTTGCTGAAGGCCACGGCGTCTTTGTTCCCTGTCCCCTTCTCCCCTGTGTGCTGGGCTGAGCATGGAGGGCTGCATGTGAGTGAGCATCTGGGACCCTGTGCTCCAGGAGGTCAGGACTCAGGGATCTTTGAGGACCCCAGACCAGTCCCACTAGCAAATGGGCCTACCGTGTCCTTAGGAACCGTGTCCATAGGCACACCTACGGGGAGTGGGTGTAAGGTGGCCTTTCAGCCAAAGAAGGCAGGAGAATGCTGTGCACCTGCCAGGTCCCCCTTGTGGCCATGTTGAACCTGCCCTGTTCACCTGGTCAGGGCTGCAGGGGCCAAGTCAGGGATGGGTGTCGAGAGTAGAGAAAGGGCAAGTGGGAGAGCTTACCTCAGGCTGAGGACACAACCACCACCCTCGGGCCCCAGTGCCAGGTCTAGGGTACAGTTGTTGAGGGATGGAAGGGCTTGTTTCCCCCACCCTTTCTAACCTGTTTTCTCACCCCAGGTAAATACTGGGGCTGCATGCAGCGCCTGGCTTCCTGTCCAGATGCCTGGGTACCCAGGGTACCAGGGGCCGACCCAGAAGAAGTGGAGGCAGTGACTGCACTGGCATCACTCTCCGTGGGCATCCTGGCTGAAGAGAGGTAAAGCCTCACCCTTGGCCCTGGGCAACAGCCTCTCCACCCACTGGGTTCTCCAAACTTGAGGACCCTAGATCCCCAGCCCGTGCCTCCTAGCCTTCTGGCATTTCTTGACTAGAGCTGGGAGGGAGCTCAGCTGAGGCTCTGCCCTGCCCTTCCCCCCAGGCCCGCACAACAGCTGGTGGAGGAGGAGGAACCAATGACTCTCTGAGGCTTCAGAACGGATGTGCCCCCCCACTCCTGCCCTGCAAACCTGGTTCTCTTCTGAAATCCAGCAACAACACCTGCTCCCCAGGTCTTCAGGGTGGGTTGTCGGGGCCAGAGGACAGCCTGCCTTGCCATCATCACACCAGCGAGCCCACAAAGGCCCTTGGGTCTTGAGTGAGAACCAGAGAGGACCCTGAGAGAAGGCAGGGTGGGGAGCCATTCGGGCCCCACAGGACACTCCCCACAACAGATGCTGCCCTCGGAGTCTGGGCCCCTGGCTGTGACCCCTGTTCCTCAGGACTACACAGAGGGCTGGCTTCATTGGGCCCACTCTTAACCACTATTCTTGGCTCCAGAGACCCGGGACTTTGCACACATCCCCAGGCCCCACAGAGAAATGTGAACTTGGCCTCAGCCAGCTCAGTTCTTCCTAAGAGGGGCCAGAGGAAGAGAAGGGAAGGGGGGCAAAGCCAAGGGTCCCATATCCCTGAGTGCAGGGGGAGTTGCTCCTCTCACCTGCTTCCTTGGATGACTCTGGAAGCTTCTACCCTCCACCACTACCACCACTAGGCACGGAGATGAGGTGCCTTCTAAGAGCAGGCATCAACAAGCTTTCCATCCAGTCCCTGCCCCTGCCAGAGGCACCACCCTAGGTCAACCACCTCAGTGCCCTGGTGGAGCAGACAGGCTCTTGGAGTTCTGTGCTTTCCAATCCAATGGTGCCAAACCTTCATCTCCCTCTGGAAGCACAGCATGGCCCCCAGGGATCCCTGGGTCACTGCCCTCCCACCATGAGACTTTTGTGTTCATGGAGTCTCCCCCACCCCACTGATTCCTGCCCACATAGGACCAGCTTGGCTGAGGGCAAAGGGGATGAGGAGAGTGGACATAAGACGTGGAGAAGGGGAGGCTGCCCTGGCAAAGTCTTCAAGGCTTTTGGGGTCCAGGCCTGGGGACAAGAAGGAAAGTACTTGTGGGCGAGTATGTATGCGTGTGTGCGTGCGTGTGTGTG